ATGAACATGGATTGTGTCTCAATGTCATGAAGACAGAAGTCGTCACCACTGAACAGCTGAACATCAGGAGACACAGAGAAACAATTGCTCCATCTTGAGAGTGTATGATTTCATCTTATTTTCAACAACTGAAGCATCAGCAGCCAGGATATCAGGAGGCATATTACATTGGAAAAGTCAGCTGTCAGAGACCTCTCCAAAATCCTTGGAGCTTTGAGGGCCTAGTAGAAAGAAGCTGCGTTGCAATCCCAGAGGTACTTGGTTTAAATCCACCAGATGCTGTGCTGGAGAAGGAGGAGCAATCTCATCCTATACCACTCAGATCTGATTTGATGGTATGCACGTAAAAAATTAAAAAAAAAAATCCCGAGGAGCAGTAATATGAGTTTGTAAACTAAGGCGTGCCTGACTCAGGCCATGATCTTTTCAATCATTTGCTGTGGTTATCAGAGCTTGACAATGAGTAAGATTGAAAGAAGTGATACCTTCTTTGTGCTGTTGGAATACTGAATATCCCATGGACTGCCCAAAGAATAGTTAAGCCTTTGGAATAGTGCAGTGAGAATGCTCCTTGCAAGCAAGTTTAAGTCTCATGTTTTCTGGCCTTGTTCTTAGAGGGGGATATTCTTTGCAAAGTGACATTATGCTTTGAAAGGTGAAGGGTCCATAAAAGAGAAGAGCTCAATGAGAAAGACTGACACAGTCACTACAGCAATGGCTCACGTGTGTCACAGACGATGAGGATGGTACAGGAGAGGGCAGGCTTCGTATAGAGTTGTTCATAGGATCGCCAATGAACTTTTCTCTTTGAAAACTTCATCGTGTTTATTTTCCCTGAATTGACCAACCCTGGCGTCATTCATCCAGTTGTATGACAGAACAAATGACGTGTTAAAACACCACAATGTGCCTTGATACCTAAGACCACAGTTAGAGCATTCATTCTCTGCGTTCATGACTTTTATCCCCCGAGGATACAGTTTGTAGTCACGCAGTGAGGAAGAAATTCTACTCAACTCTCGTCCTCAGTGAAGATCTTGGGATTTTGCCTGCGAGTTCTGTATGGTACATAATAATACATTATTGGACACTGAAAGTACCACCGCAGGGACGACATTGAGATAGGAGCCCATTCACTCTATCCTTAGGATTTCTCTGCAGGGCCAATTGTGTTATCTCCTGACGGTCCACCTTTGGTCATAGGTGGTCCCACAAGAACCATGTCCCTCTAAACGAGGAGTCCACCATTGTATGCTGATGGCTTAGCAGCCCCAGAAGGACTTCTTCAGCTCACAGGGTTCTTTCCCTAGAGCTCACTGCTAAGGAACAGCTGTGGTTTGTCGGGGCCGGATCTCTAACCTTGACCACAGGCACATGCATATCCTTTTGGTGTTTTCTCTTATGAAGACAAAGGCTGGAGAAGTAGGAGAAAGCCTTTCCACAGTCCTGGCCGCTGTAGGCCGTCGACCCCGTGTGTAACCTCTGATGCACGGTGAGAGCTTTCTTGGTGCGGAAGGCCGTCTGGCACTCTCTGCAATGGAAGGGCTTCTATCCCGGGTTGATCATGTGATACATGGTGAGGCTCGACTTCCAGGAGGACTTGCCGCAGTCGCTGCAGGAGAAGGGGAACTGGCCCGTGTGAAACGTCTGATGAGTGGTGAGGCTTGACCTCTCTCTAAAGCCCTTGCCGCAGTCTCCGCACACAAGCTGCTTCTCTCCCGTGTGAATTTGAAGGTGGAGGTTGAGCCCTGCCTTCTGGCAGAACACCTGCCCACAAATCCCTCACACGTATGGCTTCTCTCCTGTGTGGGTTCTCTGCTGGATGATGAGATTTCTCTTACTTTTTAAACCTTTGCCACATTCACTGCATAAGTAGGGCTTCTCATCAGTGTGTGTCCGCTGGTGGACAATGAAAACCTTGTCTCTGGAGCCTTTGCCGCACTCACTACAGACGTAGGGTTTCTCCCTGGTGTGGATTCGCTGATGCACGGTGAGATAAGTCTTGAGGCAGAATCCCTTCTCACTCTCTCCACCAGTGTGCAGTTTCTCTGCCATATGCATCTTTCGATGGTCATTGAGACGCCTCATCTGGAGAAAGGCTTTGCCACACTCCACAGATTTATAAGGCTATTGACCTTTATGTGTTGAGTGGTGATGGTCATGGAGCTTTGACATTTCAAAGAAGGCTTCCCCACACAAACAACATCGATAGAGCATCTGTCCTAAGTGGAGGATCTGATGGTCTGTGAGGGTAGACTTTCTGTGGAAGGCTTTCCCACACTGGCTGCAGGCATGGGGCTTTTTAATCATCTCAGGTTATTTATGCTTAACGGCTAGGGACTTGGTTGGGCTGCATTTCAGGCTTTTAGGGTATTTGATTTCAGTACAAACTTGCTCACGGCCCACAGGAACCAAGGCTGTCTCGTCTTTGAGAGGCTCAGTGGAATTCTTGACGTCCACACATCTGATCTGTGTGATGGAGGGTAAGCTTAAATTTGACTTCACACCTCTTTGACAAATGTCAAACATACACTGACTGTCCCTTAAGGGAAGATGAACTGTATGCTGATGAGTGGTGTTTTCTGATGCAGTTTGTTTATAAGACTGACTTGTTCTCTCGACTCTTTTCACATGTTGGAACCATGCAAGCAGATGACCATCAACGTCCCAGGTTTTTACAAAAGAAGAGAACAAATCATCCTCCCTTCCACTTGCACTGGTTTGGAGGTATTTATGAGAAGCTGTTATTGATATGTGGTCGCTCGTTGCAAACAACCTGATACGTGTGTAAAGAAAGTCCCAGGATTATTGCATATCGACAAAAACAGTATAAAATAAACTTTAAAGCAATAAAAGGACATAGCATAGAAATCACACTCTGTGTTCATGACTTTTATCCCCTCAGGATATTTTATACTATGGGAAGCCAATACTAAATATTTGTAATAAACTGAATGCTCTTTCAGGACTGGGGGAGGCATGGTTCAAGCTAGAGTTCACCGTGCGGCAAGAAGGCAATCTAAAGGTTTATTGGATTCTTGCACAGTATCTGATGAACCCTCCCCTCCTGAGTCTGGAGGAAGGTTTTAAATAGACAGACCTTGGCTTCATTTCAATTGAATTCTTTGTGATTTACTTCCTGGTAATTTTCAAGACACAGGGAAGCTGGAATGGAGGAGGCCTTCAGTGAAGAGAACTGCTGGCCCCCTGATTTTCAAGGTCTCTGTTCTATATCATTCGGGGTAGTCTCTCTCACTATTAATAATTAATTATAAGAAGACTTTACCCTCAGTCTTCACATTCAGGTAGAAATGTTGCTCAATTCTCAACCTCAGTGAATATCTCAGATTTGACCTATGAGTTCTGAAGGGTATGTAATAATATATAATTAGATACGGAATGTACCACCACAGGGAAGACATTGAGAGATATCACACCATTCACTGTATCCACAGGATATTCTGCTGTGCAAATTCTGTTGTCTCCCAATGGTCCACCTCTGGCAACAGGCTGTCCCACAAGAACCACAACCTTTTTCCCTAGGAGTCCCCCGTTGTTTATTGATGTCTCAACTGCCCCAGGAGAACTGCGGTCACTCACAGGGCTCTTTCGCTGGAGTTCACTGCTTAGGGAAAAGCTGTGACTCCTCTGTTTAGGGTCTCAAACCTTGAGCCCATCCAGATGCCTGTCCTTTTGGTGTTGTCTCCAGTGAAAAAAAAAAAGGCTGGAGGAGTCGGAGAAAGCCTTCCCACACTCCTGGCAGTGGTAGGGCGTCTCACCCGCATGAGATCTCTCATGCAAGGTTAAAGCTTTCTTGGTCTTGAAGGCCTTGTGGCACTCGCTGCAATCGAAGGGCTTTTCTCCAGTGTGATCGCTGATGCACAGTGAGATCTCTCTTGGAGCGGAAGGCCTTCTGGCAGTCGCTGCAATGGAAGGGCTTTTCTCCAGTGTGTGATCTGTGATGCACAGTGAGATCTCTCCTGGAGTGGAAGGTCTTCTGGCACTCAATGCAACCGAAGGGCTTTTCACCCGTGTGGATCTTGAGATGCGAGTTGAAGTTTGATTTCCGGGAGAAGGACTTGCCACAGTCGCTGCAGGAAAAGGGGAACTGGCCCGTGTGAAGGGTCTGATGAGCAATGAGGCTTGACTTTTCTCTAAAGCCCCTGCCACAGTCCTCACACACGTATGGCTTCTCCCCTGTGTGAATTCGCAGGTGGATGGTGAGGCTTCTCTTCCTCTGGAAGCCCCGGCCACAATCCCCGCACACATAAGGTGTCTCTCCCGTGTGAGTTCTCTGGTGGACGATGAGACTCTTCTTCTGCTTCAAACGTTTGCCGCATTCATTGCACAAGTAGGGCTTCTCACCACTGTGCGTCTGCTGATGGATAATGAGACCTCTCTTGTATGTGAAGCCTTTGCCGCACTCACCACAAACGTAGGGTTTCTCTCCAGTGTGAACCCGCTGGTGAATGGTGAGCCCTATCTTCTTGATGAATCCCTTCCCACACTGAAGGCACTTGTGCGGTTTCTCTACCAAATGCGTCTTCTGATGGATGTTGAGCTGCTTTATCTGGAAAAAGGCTTTGCCACACTCTGTGCAGTTATAAGGCTTTTGTCCTTTATGTGTTGAGTGGTGATGGTCACTAAGATTTGACTTTTTAAAGAAGGCTTCCCCGCACAGACTGCATCGCCAGGGCTTCTCTCCTGTGTGGATGACCTGATGGTTAATGAGAAAAGACCTTCTGTGGAAGGCTTTCCCACAATCGCTACAGGCATGGGGCTTTTTCGTCTTGTCAGATTCCTGATGCTTAACAAGAGGAGACTTGGTGGGGTTGCATTTCTGGCTTTTGGGGAATTCGATTCCTGGACAAATTTGCTGGCGGGCCACAGGAACCAAGGCTGTCTCGTCTTTGAGACGCTCAGTGGAATTCTTTACGGCCTCACTTCTGATCTGTGTGACAGAGGGTAAGCTTAAATTTGACTTCACACCTCTTTGACAAATGTCAAACATACAGTGACTTTCCATTAAAGGAAGATGAACTGTATGCCGATGAGTCGTGTTTTCTGATGCAGTGTGTTGATAGGAGTGTCTAGTTCCCTCGACTCTTCTTACATGTTGTAACCATGCAAGGAGATGATCATCAACGTCCCCGGATTCTACGAAAGAAGACAACAATTAACCCTCCCTTACACTTGCACTGGTATGTACGTATTTATGAAAAAGTCTTGTTCATATAAGGTAACTCCTCCGTGAAAAACAGCTCAGAGCATAAAAAACGTACAAGGAATATTGTCCCTGGCATATTGACAAAAACCATATAAAATAAACTGAGTAAGCTGAATATTAAATTTAATATTCTAATAGTAAACAAAATGAAATATCAGGAAATGAGGGAGGCTTAACACACGGTGAAGGTTACCTTCCGGGACTAAGGTGTTCCCTAAGAGTCGACATTTTTCATCATTTCTATTAGCTGAATCTCTCCTTCCTGAGATGAGCATAAAGAGGGAACTTGGCCTTATCTACAAAAGACTTCCCCACGGTCACTTGTTTTTTTTCTTGTCCTCACTTATGATTTTACTTTGTCCCCCTTCCTCATGATGCTCTATAAATACTCAGACATGGCTTGAAGCCTTAAGTCATCAAAAGTGCAGGCCCCTTGTTCTTCACGCTCTCTGTTCTATATCATTCCTGGTAGTCAGTCTCATTATTAATAATTATAAAAATACTTTACCCTCGGTCCGCATAGGATCAAAGACTCCAGCCATCCACATGGATGGCTTCTAATCATGAAGACAGAAGTCCTCACTACATGGACTGATAAGCAACATCGGGAGAGACAGAGACACAACTGCTCCATCTTGAAACAGTGAACGATTTCGTCTCACTTGGATCCATAATCAACAATTTCACCCTCAACAGCCAGGATATTAGGAGACACATTGCTTTAGAAAAGTCAGCTGTCAGGTCCCTCCAAAATCCTGAGGAGTAGTCATAGGACTATGAGAACTAAGATATGCCTGACTCAGACCATGACATTTTCATTCACTTGCTATGGTGATGAGACCTTGACAATGAGCAAGAATGACAGAAGAATTGATGCCTTCAACTTGTGGTGTTGGAATACTGAATATTTGATGGAATGCCCAAAGAACAAACAGATATGTCTTTGGAAAATTACAGACAGATTGCTCCTTGCGAGCAAGGATAGGGAAGGCCCCTCTCACATTCCTTGGGCATTTTGTCAGAGGAGGTTATTCTTTGGAAGGGACACCATGCTTGCAAAGGTGAAGGGTTCATAAAAGAGAAGACCTCAATGAGATAGACAGAGACAGTGACTCCAGCAATGGCCCAAGTGTGTCATAGACGATGAGGATGGTACAGGAGAGGACAGGGTTCGTATAAAGTTGTTCATATTGTCGCCAATGACCTTTCCTGTTTTAAAAAGTCATCGTGTTTATTTTCCCTGCACTGATCAACTCTGGCTTGATTCATCCAGTAGGTATGACAGAAAAAATGATGTGTTAAAACACCACAGTATGCCGTGATTCCTAACACCACAGATAGAACATCCACACTCTGTGTTCATGACTTTTACCCAATCAGAATAGTTTATAATATGGGAAGCCAATACTAAATATTATTAATAAACTGAATGCTATTTCAGGATGTGGGGGAGGCATGGTTCAAGCTAGAGTTCACCCTGAGACACTAAGACAGTCCTTAAGGGTTTACTGGATTCTTGTGTTGTTATTTGCTGAACCATCCACTCCTGATTCTGGAGGATGGTTTTAAATAGACAGAGTGTGTCTTGATTTGCATTGAATTCTTTGTGATCTACTTCCTGATAATTTTCAATAAAGATACAGGGAAGCTGGAATGGAGGCCTTCAGTAAGGAGAACTGCTGGCCCCCTATTTTTCAAGGTCTCTGTTCTCTATCATTCCTGGTAGTCTGTCTCATTATAATAATTCATTATGAAAATACTTTACTGTCAGGCTGTAACATAGTCTCACAGTGAGGTCGAAATGTTGCTCCACTCTCGACCTCAGTGAATATCTCAGGTTTAACCTATGAGTTCTGTAGGGTGTATAAAAATAGATAATTATATACTGAAGGTACCAGCACAGGGAAGACATTGAGAGCTTAAATTTGACTTCACACCTCTTTGACAGATGTCAAACATACTTTCCATTAAAGGAAGATGAACTGTACAACAATGAGTGGTGTTTTCTGATGCAGGGTGTTTATAGGACTGTCTTGTTCTCTCAACTCTTCTTACATGTTTCAACCATCCAAGAGAATGATCATCAACGTCCCAGGTTTCAAAGAAAGAAGAGAACAAATCACCCTCCCTTACACTTGAACTGTTACGTATGTATTTATGAAAAATTGTTATTGATATAAGGTAACTCTTCGGTGAAAAGCTGGTCAGAGCGTAAAAATAGTACCAGGAATATTGTCCCTGGCATACAGACAAAAACCATATAAAATAAAGTGAGTGAAGCTGAATATTAAATTTAATATTCTAATAGTAAACCAAATGATACCTCTAACGTGTTCCCGAAGAGTCAACATGGTTCCTAGTTTGTATTAATTGAATCCCTCCCTTCTGAGATGAGCATAAAGAGGAACTTGACCTTATCTGCATAAGACTTCACCATGATCCTAGGTTTTTCTTTTGTACTTCGTTATGATTTTAATTTGTCTACCTTCCTCACGATGTCTCTTCTGACATCCATTTTGGTCTTTTCTTCCTCTTCTGTCTTTGCAAGGACCCTTTGCACTCTTCCGGGATGATACCCTTGATATCCTCCTACAACTCGTCTGGTCTTTGCTCATTAGTGTTCAAAGCCTCAACCCTGTTCCTGAGATGATTCTGAAATCCAGGTGGGATAGACTCAAAGTCATACTTTGGTTGCCTTGGATTTGGTTTAATTTTCCTCAACTTAAGCTTGAACTTGCATATGAGTAGTGGGTGGTCTGTTCCACAATCAGCTTCTGGCCTAGTTTTCACAGCTGATATTGAGCTTCTCCAGCGGTTCTTCCCACCGATGTAATCGATCTGATTCCTATGCATACCATCTGGTGAAATCCAAGTATATAACCTGCGTTTATGTCTCCTAAAAAAACGTATTTGCTATGAATAAGTCATTGATTGTGCAAAATTCGATCATTCTCTCTCCACCTCCATTTCTGTCACCGACTCCATGTTTTCGAACTACTGAATCATCTTCTCTATTCCCAATTTTTGCATTCCAGTCACCCATTATTATCAAATGCATCTTCATTGCATGTTCAAACAATCTCCAATTGTAAAAGTTCGTAAAAATCTTCTATATTCTCTTCCTTGGCTCTGATTGTTGGTGCATATATCTGAATGATAGTGGTATTAACTGGACTTCCTTGTATGCGTATGGATATTACCCTGTCACTGACAAAATTGTACTTCAAGATGGATCTAGCAATGACTTTTTTAACTATGAAAGCAACTCCATTTTTCCTCACCTTTTCATCTCCAGAGTAATATATCATATGATCATCCGACTCAAAATGCCCCATGCCAGTCCATCTCATCTCACCAATGCCTAGTATGTCAATATTTATGCATTCCATTTCTTCCTTAACAATATCTAATTTTCCTGCATTCATGGTTCTCACATTCCATGTCCCAGTCACCAGTGTCTGCTTACAACTGTTCCTCTTCCTTTGTATTTCCATACTTGAAAGCTCAACCTCTGTTGCCCTTTCTGTTATCTACATGTGTTATGTTGTACATAGGGTTTTCAGAGGCCTGCTATTTCAGAAGTGATTGGCCAGTCCTTCTTCCTAGTCTGTCTTAATGTGAACGTTCAGATTTAGAGAATTATCAGACAGACCAGCAAGTTAATGGTATATCCCTTACTGTGGAGTTAGCCATTAGTGTCAGTGTTGTCCTAGCCTTTCTCACACGTGTCTTTACCCACTTATTTCCCTGCTCCACCATCCACCGGGATACCCATCCACTTGTACCCACTCCCTTCACATCTATCTCCCATTGACCAGCCCTTCATCTAATAGCTTATATATGAAGCCTTGGATTCTGTGATTCCAAACACACCAGCTGCTGGTAGTTCCTTATGTGGGGACCAATGTCTCTGAAGTTGAGTTGTAATGTTTCCGAGCAAAGCCGATGCTCGATGCTTCCTGTAGAACTGGTGTGTACATAGGAACAAATGCCATGTGGTTTGGGCATCTTCAATGATATAATTATAAAAATACTTTACCCTCGGTCTCCAACACATGGCAATGACTACAGGACACACGGAAATTTGTGCCATGAGAGGGGAGGTTGGGGTCAGGATCGTTAGTGTGAAGTGGCCTCGGAGGGCTGTATCAGCTCACAGGAATCTGCTTGGTGCTGAAATGCTGCCAAAGGTACTGGAGATTCACACACCTTGCGAATTCGGTGGAGGTTACACTATTGGTCTGAGTTGTTCTTTTCAGGGAGGAAGATGCCCTTATGGATACGAGTAGGTAATCTTACCTTGACAGAGATCTGGAAGGTGTTATTTTTAATAGGGAGACAAAAGCAAATGAAGAAGGGAAAGATTTGGGAATACTGGAATGAACAAAATCATTGAACCCAAAATACCAACACGTAGAGCAACGAAACAGAAATCTAATCTTAAAAGGTAAAACATAAATTGTGCTCTATCTGGATTAATCTCAGAGGACACAGAGGAGTGTATTTCTCTAAATTCATGAATAGAAAAGGAGTCACGAGGGAAGAAGGAGGAACAGCAGCGTTTCAACATGCCCACAGTCACTTCACATATGTGACAACTTCTCTCACGTGTCTTCCACAGTCTTCCCGACCCACCACTTTTTGCTCACTCACCTGAAGAGATTCCACCCTGGCTTCTGTCCAGTAGAGTTCGCGGTGGCTCTCCCTGCTGCAATATGGAAAGGGCATCTGCTCTGCTAATTCCACACCCTGTATGTGTGAAACCAGAGAATCCTAGAATCACCCAACAGGCATTGGCTTGTGAAGAGACCAAATGTTTACTTATGGTGTAAAAGGGGGAAAAAAATTCAAGCTTACAACGTAAAGGTTCTGCTTTCAAGAGGAAAAAGACTATTCCTAATGACATACGCCTAAAGTGGATGAGAATCTCACACTTCTCAACCCCACAGACACCCCAAAGCTTGAGCAGCTGAGAAATGAGAATGTGTCAGGAGAATGTCCTCACCGATGGCCACCAGGTGACTGTGGGTCTCCAGCATCACGTCCCAGTACAGGGCCTTCTGAGCAGGGCCCAGGAGCTGCCACTCCTCCCAGGTGAACTTCACGGTCACATCGTCCAACGTCAGTGACCCCTGCAACACAAAGATCCTATTTCAGAAGGTATTTTCCATGTGACGATATCAGTGAAACGTGAGGGCAGTTGCGCTACTCCTTCCCTAGTACGAGCTGCTGCAGCGATGCACATGGATGGCTTAAACATTTTTATCGCTCTCTCACATATATATGTTTTTGTGGCTATTATTTGTCCTTGAGTCTCCTGGGACTCATACCGACCCTATGCTCAATAGCCCTAATCACTGCTCTCTCTCCTGCCAATATTATCATCTACGACACACCACTCCCCATTACCCCAGTCACTGAATCATCTACCTCCGAGAGGGTCATCCTCTCCTACGCTGTCCCTGCATCCTCCAAAGCAGGAAGGACTGGTCCCAACTGGCAACGTGTCCCAAGTACGTCAGAGGAAAGTTCAAAATCCTTGCCTCTAAGAAACAGCCTGGCTTCACAATCTCCAGGACAAACCTGTTTGTTCTCCTGACATCCATGGTATATTCAGTACTCTTCTCTGGCACCACAACTCAAAGACATTAATTCGCCTTCTTTCATCCCTCTAATTCAGCCATTCCAATAATTAAGTCATAATCCCATGAACAAGGCAACTTTATCCTTACATCGTCTTATGCTGAAGATTCTAAAGGTTTCTCTATACCTTGGACTAGTCTAAATATGTTGCTTTTTGGATGATATGACCAAACATTGTACAAGGTTTCTTTAAACATCTGAACAATTAAATCCATTAGGAAATAAGATAAGATAATAATAAGATAATAAAATGTCACCTAAGTCCTTCTTTGAGCAGAAACGGTGGGGCGCAGTGGCTAAGCTTGAGGAACCAGGACCCAGCCTCTTTGTCACAGGTTGTGGACAGGTTGCTAAGACTCTTTTGATCAGGACAACCATTCCTCAGACCCCAGAAATCCCAGGGTCTAAGGCAAGAGTTGGAAAGGGTTCGCTCATGCTGCCAGGGCAGGACCCAGCCTCCAGACCGCCCTCCACAACACTGGGAAGGTGACTGAGGATCTGCATTCACAGCCTTTACCAGCGTGGTCCTTGTGGACTTGAGCATATAGGCCCCTCACCACTGCCAGGAGTCATTGCACAGAAACACACCTTCACACTGGACATAGAAGTGGATGCAGATAGAGAACGCCAGGATATGGACGTGAGGAGGACCTCGCCCTGGAGGTCTGCACTGCTGCACTGACCTGGTCCGCTCCCACTCCTACCCCTCGCTGCAGTCAGTGGACACTCGGCAGCCTGTCTTCCCGAAGACACTTCAGGACACCTGCTCTGTGGCTCTGACACCCATCCTGCCTCCTGGCACTAAGGATCCCCCAGCAGCTCTCCACTCTGGGAGCCACGTCATTCCAGAATTGTCCCCCGAATTTCAAGCAGACAAGGGCTGTCAATTCCCTGTGTGTGGTCATTCCAGAATTGTCCCCCGAATTTCAAGCAGACAAGGGCTGTCAATTCCCTGTGTGTGCTGTGATGAGGATAATTAAGAGCATGGCTTACAAAAATAAAAGAGTCACCTGAACCCTGTCCATTTTCTTTTGTCACGGAGCGTCACCAGCCACCGGGAAGCTCCAACGCTGTGCCTTCTGGGTCAGGTGTGTTTGCTGTTGAGAAATTTCAACCTGCCATGAAAGGTACCCCAAAGATGGCAATACCCAATTTAAATAACGTCTTCCTCTTTCTTTTTCTTGCTGTTGGGGTGTCAAGACCTGTACGATCAAGGGAAAATGAATGTGAGGGGTATATCACCTCTGTGACAACCTGCAGTCACTGCGTCGACCACTCACTATAACGCACAGCCCCTAACCCCAGTGACTGACACTTTATCAAGTGACCTAGAACAGGTTGCACCTGTGGGCGATAAATCCTCAGGGGCTGATGTTTCAGAGCTATGGGTGATAGATATCTTTTTACAATGGGACCTGAATGATCAGATACCGATGTGAAGGGGAGAGAAAAAAGAAAGAAAAAGAGATTGAACCTTACTTCCTGTGATACATAGTTTCATAGGGTGGTCATACGTGATTCTCAACCAGAATGGCAAAGAAATGAGGCTTTGGGAAGATAAATTCATTCCATGGGCTTGAAACATATTTTAAACATACTATATAAAAGCCTTCATCAAAGGGAGCACTGGTGGCTAAGTGGTTTTGAGTTGAACTAGGGACCAAAAAGCAAGCAGTTCGAATCCTCCAAGCTGCTCCAACAAGAAAGATGGACAATGTCTTCCCATCAGGGAAATTAATTTACTGCTTCGGAAAACCTAGTGGAGAGGCAGAGATTCAACAATACATACTCACAAAATAACCCATAAAAGCCTGATCTATAGCCTGAAGGCGGCTGGGGAAACGAGAGAGTTGGAAAACCACTTTAAGAAACACTGGATATGGCGAGCTCTGGTGGCCTAGTGGTAGGAAACTGTACTGCAATCCCAGAGGTGCGCGGTTCAAAGCCGCCAGATGCTCTGCTGAAGAAGGAGGAACAATCGCCTCCTGTACCAGTCAGAACCAATTTGACGGTACACACATAAAAAGAATAAATAAATGAATAAATAATTTAAAAAAATGAAAAGAAACGCTGGATACGAGCTACTGAACTAAGTACCAATCACAGTGACCCCACGAACTGTGCTGTAATGCACCACGCCTTACCATCTATGGCACGCGTGAGCCCACTGCTTATACCACTGTGCCACGATCTCTTTCTTGTTGACAATGTTCCTCCTGCCTTTCTCTGAATACTAAGATATCTGCTATCAGACTGAAACCAGGATTTCTCCTTCTAATGACATCAAAGGAGCTGAGATGCCATTAGCACGTTATTGTTACAAGATCCAATGGATCACCCTTCCATCGCCTCTCCAGTTAATTATCGAAGTTTCATCTCATTATTGCATCTGAATATGGTTACTTTAGTGTGGAGAATCTCGAGAAATCCCTGCAGAGCCACAGCTGGATTCCAAATGCCAGAGGCGTGACCTTAGCTGGACAATTCCTTCCAGCGCTCCACCAAATCTCTCTACCTGCCTCTCACTCACAGCGAATGGAATGGAACTGACTCATAGCTGAACCTCCAGGAGAATGTCAGCAGCCGTAACTCACATGTGAGGTTAGTGGTCATTTGCTTCCTCAGGAGCAAGTGGGGGATTCGAACTGACTGTCTTTAGTATGGAAGCCACCAGATCACTTGTTGTTAAGTGCTGCCGAGTCGCAGGCTACTCATAGCGACCCCATGAAGGAGAGTCCTCGACGGTTGGGTGTCTCTCAGCCTCTCTCCAGGTTCACAGGGTCTCCCAAGGCAAGCTATTATGGAAGTGGATGCCACTCCTCCATCCAAGCTTATTTTGATTGGGGAGCTCCACCCCACTCTCTGTCCGCACTGGGTAGCCAACCATTAACGCATTTGACACACATCAGTGTCACAGTGTTCAGCCTCACAGTAACCACAAGTGACCACTGTATGGAAATTTGTACAGCAGGGCTATACGACCTAGAGGAATGTCTGAACAAAAATAATGAAAGACAGGCCCGAGGGCCCTAGAAAAAGAAACCACACATTCCGGGAACCCCAAACCTACTGCGCCTCAGCAAGGCAGAGTCCGGATTCAGCTGGCATTAAATATCCCAAGGCCCTAGGCAGAGCTTGACGTTTCAATGTCTTACCAGCTGGGCACGCCCAAATGCTGGCAAACTCCTTTCCCCAGATCCCCAGTTCTTTTGACAAGTCGGCCGTGGAGCCAAAAATCCACCACGCCTGCAAGGAACCCCAACCCTACCGCGCCTCAACACCAGATCACTAGAGTGAGGACTTACACCCCATACTGGCCGCAGGATAGACTTCCACCCGTTATTGTGTAAAAGGTAGAAAGTACGCATGGATAAGACTCCTGGAAGGCTACTGATCTGATGGCAAAAAGGCGGACAAATTCACACCAAACGGTCACCTACTGAATTAGGAAGAAAACACTTGATTATCTGGACAAGGCTTTTCCAACCACTGACTGGGGAAGGTGTCACCTGCTGAGGTTGCAGGGGTTCAGCTGTTCTAAACCCCAGTCTCCCTCCACATAACAAAGAGCAGCCTCCCATTCTCCTCACCAAGGAAGCAGGACCACACCTCCCTCCAGGGTGGAGATGCCCCCACATGCAGGTCATTCCACCCAGCATTTCATCCCTCAGCAGGAACCTTAAACCTGAGTCATTTTAATTCTCATCTTCATTCCTTAGGAGGTGAGTGTCCCACACAAACCGGAGACCCAGACAGGACCCTGATGGCCACAACCACGTGGCACACAGGCATCCACTCCACCAGTGACTCCAAGGCACCGCATCCCACCTGCGTCCCACCCGGGAGCCTGCCAGACCTTCACCCGACACATCCACCTGTCTGTCTGCTCCTGTCTCAAGTACGCGCTCATACGGCCGCCAGTTCCGTTCTCAAATCCCAGGGAGAAGTCACAAAGGAACAGACAAGGATCCAGAACGCCTGCAATGAAGATTCCATTCATTAGCAGAAGGGTGGTCTCTTCCTCTACGGCGGCCCGCGAGGGTCCGAACTGTTCAAGGCGAAGATACCACGTGATTGGACGCCGCTTGTGACGTCACCGCTATGCACCTGGCCCATCAGATTTAAAGACCCCCCCCTGGCTTTGTGTGGTCTGAAACTCCTGGGTACTTAACTACAAGGTAGGTGCACATCCCTGTTTACTGCGGCTTTGTTCACAATAGCACGGAGCTGGAAACCACCCAAGTGACCATCAACAAACAATGGATAGAGAAGCTGTGGTTTATTCACACAATAGAATACTACGCTTCACTGAAAAACAAGGAACTCATGAAATATTATTGAAAATGGGTGACCCTGAAGGACATTATGCTGAGTGAAGTATCTCATCCCAAAAGACAAATACTGCATGGTGCCACTGTTGTAAAACAGGACTGACATCTGGGTTGGGGAGAGACTGAGAAAGATGGGGTCAACAATGTACATGGCATTGAAACAGATGAGGGAGCAAATTGTTTAAGAGGGATATGTGATTAGGTAGTTTCGTCATGACAGGAGTCTACAGTGAATTCTACATAGTGGAGTGGACCTGGAGGAGGGTTGGTGAAACAATGAAAGAATTTTACTTTTTCAAAAGGGTAGTGTACTAGGGGGGAGGGTTGGGAGGGGAGAAAAGTGCAACAGTGAATGAAAGGAGATCCAAAGTCTCTGTAAATTTTTCCTGAAATCAATAAGAAATTTAAATTGAAAAAATTAACAACAACAACAACAACATAGGGACAGCTCATGTGGCCCAGTGGGCAGAA